GTCTTACTTTTTGGCCTCCACTGTATGACCCAATTCCTTATGTTTGGGAAGACACCTGGGACTCTGTGCAGGTAGTCCTATGCTATATACATCCTGTGGTTGGTGCTGGCCAAAGGAATACACTGAGACCATTACACTTACAGCTTTGGGTTGGGACCAATGAGATTGTTCTAGGTCAGGCTTTTCCCCTGGGGTTTGGCATGAAACAAAACAAAACAACAACAACAAAACATTCACACATACGCTCACGCACAAACAAAAACATTGGCTCAAGACACTTCCCACAAAAGGCCACTTTGCAAAATTTTGGGAAATGCAGGTATGAAAAGAAGGTGAAATGAATGGGTTGCAGCACCCTTCCAAGAAGTCTGATCGAAGGGAATGGAGAAATGAGCCTTAAGACTTCCTAGCCAACTAACTCATGGGCAAGGGAGCAGGGTGGAACTGACCAGGTAGCACAGCCTCCGGCTGGTTAGAGTTGAGAAAAGGCACAATCGCAGAGGTTCTTCCAGAAATGGGTTATTGGGACAGAGTAAGCAGCTCACTTCTGGCACTGAAGAGATCCTTGTTTGGTGGTGGAGCTCAGGGATAATGGGTGGGGCTAGGTGTGCTAAACCCAACAGTTGTGATCTTTTGGCAAGCTTTTCAGAGCCTTTCGTTTATGTCCAATCATTGATTTCTAACAGAGAGGAGCAGTAGGGAGCCACTTTCCTGCCATCTAGTCCTGGTGTTGGCTTCTGGTTAATCTTTCACATGTTGTGTGTACTTAATTCAAGGAGCATCTGTGTTTTGACAAATAAATTCTACAACCTTATTTTTCCATACCAATGCCAGGTTTACAGTGATTAAGATTCACACAGTTATTTGTATGCAAAATCTCTTTCCTATTTAGTTAATTAGTATATCAGATACATATGCCTGTTTATCATGTTCCCAACACTAGGTTTTGGAAAAATTCAGACAACATATAAGTTACAGTTTCTATCCTCAAGGAATATGTAATTCAAGAGAGAAGATTATCATTCAACAAACAATTGAGAAAGAAATGGGTGATTAACTAGGATGCTGATGAGAAGTGTAATTCAAATGCAGGAAAAAGAGTCTAGTACAGGTTAGAATAAGAGACTATTGCAGGAAAATAAGACTCAAGATAGGCCCTCAGGATGGAAGACTTTTAGAAGAGGATAAAAGAACAGCTTTCCAGGGCGCCTGGGTGGCTTAGTCGGTTAAGCGTCCGGCTTTCGCTTAGGTCATGATCTCGCGGTTCGTGGGTTCAAGGCCCACGTCAGGCTCTGTGCTGACTGCCAGCTCGGAGCCTGGAGCCTGTTTCAGAGTCTGTGTCTCCCTCTCTCTCTGACCCTCCCCTGCTCACGCTGTCTCTCTCTCTCTCTCCCCCCTAGAAATAAATAAAAATATTTAAAAAAACAAACAAACAGCTTTCCTCATGTAAGAAATCACCTGAGCCAAGGACAGAGGCAGGACATGAACATTAGGTACTCAGGGACAACCAGGAGAGATGTGTGATGGAAATGAGGGAAGGCACATGGGAAATACATTTGGGTAGGTAAGGCAGAGCCCTGTTTCTGTCACCTCAAAAGTCAGTGAGTTTGAACTCAACATTACAGAGCAGTGCTATTCAATAATAATGCCACATGTGTAACTTAAAACTTTCTATGCCACACTAAAAAAAAATAAAAAGAAACAGGTGAAGTTCATTTTAGTAACAATATATTTTCCCTAATCCAATATGTCCAAAATACTACCATTTTAACATGTAATCAATATTAAAATATTTTTACACTGCTTCAGTTGTTAAAGAAAAATTCAGGTCCTCACTTTCACGAGCCACATGTCAAATGCTCAGTAGCCACACGTGTCTAGTATCAGGCAACATAACTATAGACAATTATGAGATTATTTAGCAGCTGAATAATGAGCCAAAGTTGAATAGTATCTTTGGAGGATTTGTTGTCAGTGAAATGTAGAGTTCATTGAAGGGTGTGATGATTGCGGTTGAAGAGAGAAGTTAGATTTGGAATGAATTACATGTAGGTACTGAAATGGTTGCCGTGGGCTGTTAAGAGGATAGGGCAAATTTGAGAGATGCTTCAAAGAAATAATCGGTGTGCCTTGATGAACTATGGGTAATGAGAAAAGGAAAACAAAATTCAAGAGTGGTAGCCAGCCTCCACACAGCCCTCATTGATCCTTGCCTCCAGCTATGTTATGTGTGACCAATAGAATAAGGCGGTAGCAATGGTATGTTATGTCCAAGATTAGGTTATAAAAGATATTCTGGCTTCTGTTTTGGTGGTTTTCTGTCTTGGCTCATTCACTCTGGAGAAATGGAGCCGCTGCACTGTGAGCAGCCCTGCGGAAAGGCCCAGGTAGCACGGAACTGAGGCTAGCCAAAGAGCCCATGAGTGAGTTTGAAAAGGTGTCCTTCTGCCCCAAATGAGCATTCGGATGACTGTAATCCTAGCCAACACTGTGACTGCAACCTCAGGAGAGACCCTGAGCCAGAACTACCTCTCATCCTCTCTCTGATTCCTAAGCCTCAGAATCTGACAGAGATGACAAATATTTGTTATTTTAAGATGTTAAATTTGGGGGCAAATTGTAACAGCAACACACCATGATTACATCAAGCAATAATAAAAAGATAACCTAGTTTAAAATGGGCAAGAGAATTGAACAGCCACTTTACAAAAGAAGATAAACAAAGGAAAAAAAGTGCTCAATTATCATGAGATGCCAGGGAAATGCAAATCGAAACCACAATGAGTTAACACTACCCACACATCAGCAGGCTAAAATTAAAGACTGTAAGCATAAAATGTTGATGATGATGTGAGCAACCAGAATTCTTTTATTTTAAAATTAAGATATAATTCACGTACCATACAGTTCACCCATTTAAAGTATACAATTCAATGGCTTTTAGTATAGTTCAACCATCACCACAATAAATTTTTGATATATGTTTATTACTCCAAAAGAAACCCAGTACTGAACCCTAGTCTACTTTTTGTCTTTGTACATTTGTTTATTCTGGACACTCATATTAATGAAATTACACAATATTCGGTCTTTCATGCTTGTTTTTTTCACTTGATGTAGTGTTTTCAAGGTTCATCTATGTTGTAGCATGTAGCAGTACTTCATTTTTTTCATTGTCAAATAATATTTCATTGTATCAATATATCACTTTTTTTTTTAACCCATCCAATTGATACACATTTGAGTTATTTCAAGCTTTCTGGTTATTATGAGTAGTTATAAATATTTGTGTGGACTATACTTTTATTTCTTTGGGGTATATACATAGGAGTGGAATTACTAGGTCTTATGGTGGTCTTTAGTTAACCAATTGAGGGATTCTCAATTGTTTTCAAAATGGCCATATAATTTTACATGCCTACCATCAGTATGTGAAGATTATTATTTATATATTCATCAACAATTATTTGTCTTTTTGATTATAACCATCTTAGTGGGTATGAAGTCATCTCTCATTGTGGTTTTGATTTGTACTTTCTTGATGGCTAATTATGTTGAATATCTTTTCATAAGATTATCCATCACTTGTAGATCTTCTTTGGAGAACTGTCTATTCAGATCCCTTGCTCATTTTTAAATAGAATGATGTGTGTGTGTGTGTGTGTGTGTGTGTGTATGTGTTTAAATTAAGTTGTAATAGTTCTTTACGTGTTCTAGGTACAAAATCTTTATCAAATATATCATTTGCAAAACTTTTTTCCTATTCTGTGGGTTGTCTGCAACCAGGATTCTTATTTTTTTAAGATTTATTTTTAGAGAGAGAGTACAAGTGGGGGAGAGGGGCAGAGAGAGAGAGAGGGAGAGAGAGAGAGAGAATCTTAAGCAGGCTCCATGCTCAGCACTGAGCCTGATGTGGGGCTTGATCCCATGACTCTGGGATCATGACCTGAGCCAAAATCATGCTCAACAGACAGAGCTACTGGGCGACCCTAGAATTCTTAATCCAAAATGATATGAATACTTTTGGAAAACATCTTGGATTACAGAATTTGCCCAGGGTTACTAAACTCTTAGCATGCTAGGGACAAGACAGGACTGACTACATAATTTGTAGGACCTGCCTGTATCAAAATGAAAATGTGGGGCACTTTGTTAAAAAATTGTTACAAGTAGAACTTTAAACCAAATGCAGGGCCTTTCTAAGCATGAGGCCTGGTGAGACACAGGTTGCATGCACATGAAGCTAAGGGAAAGGGAAAATTAGAATCTTGGGCTATTTAACAGGAAAGCCCATGCTCTTTCCAATAGCCACACTGGGTTAAGGGGATCATACTTTTGGTGCACACTGAATGAGACGTGAGGGCAATATCAGATGGTGGTATCAAATATTGATGTAAATCCTAATGGATAAGGTAAATCTTGACTTTATTTTGAGTAAGCTACTTTCTGAAAAGACTTAGGGTTTCGTTGATAACAGTAACTTTCAGTTTTGTTGGTGAAGATGTATCTAACACCTCTTAATAGGACAGATTTTTGTCTGCCATTGAGGAAGAGTGGGGGATCAATAACTTTTCCAAAAAACTTGAAATATACCAATCCTAATGTAAAAGAAGTTCTGCTGTGGTAAGGTTAGGATTAAACTACATCAGTGTCCTTTTATCAAGTTTATTTCATCTGATCCTCTAACAAGAGAATACTAAATTTATATTTTTATTTTAAAAAATCCTCAAATTCAAGCAAAGTCTTTCACGTCAATCCTTGCTAGTCAAATGACGCCGGTCAAGCCTAGCCGAAGAGAGCCTCTAAGTAACCACAGTCTTCCAGTTAGGGCGTCTTTCGGCGCCGGCTGCTCCTTCAGCCCTGCCCCACCTCGCCTTCCGCCTTCGCCTCGGCCCCGCCCCCAACCAAGCCCCGCCCCGTCTCCTGGCGCTCTCCACCCATTTCCTCCCGCAGCCGCTTTCGCCCTGCCCTCCACGCCCTCCCGTAGCGGAAGAGCCCGCTGTGGGCCCCTCTGGCCGCCTGGAGGACTTGTCATCTGTGTCCGGAGGCGTCTGGCGGCAGTGGGCGGGTCTAACGTAGGCGAAACAAGCTCTTCCTGTGCGCCTGCTCTGACTACTTTAGGTTTGTGGGAGCTTTTCGCAATGGGGCTGCCGGAGGTGTGGAGCCTCGTACACAGGTGAGAGAACAAGCGAGCTGCCTAACGCTGGCTCCTGGGCTGCTCTCGCCGAGGTGGCAGAGGTTTGCAGGTGGCGACTGCCTGACCTCGAAGTTTCTAGTCACCGTTGGAGGCTCAGTTCTTAGACCTGAGTCTGGGCCCTTTTCTGTAACTCACTCTGAGTGTGTTTAGGCGCCTTCTTCGCAGCATCACTTTCGTTTTCTGCCACCCTGGTTCTTATTCACCCTTGACCCTATGGTGTCTGAATGGGGTGTCTCCGCATTGGAGGCGGGCCCCCAAATGTGGGGCAACGATCAGGTGGAAGGGGCGGGAGGTGTAAGAATTCACCTGAGGCAGAACGAAGAAGATAGAAGTTTATTGAGTACATAGTGAGGGAGCAGCGAGCAGGACAGCACCGAAGAGACTGCATGGAAGCAGTGCACGGGTCCTGTATTTAACGGGAAAAGTTCAGGAGGTGTGGCCACGTATGGAATTCTTTTTTTGGCAACTGTACCTAGTGGTAAGTAGCCCATTGGTCAGTTAGGGCCACTAAATATCTTGAGGTGGGTCGCCTGATGGGCCGATATGTAATCTAAATTCCGTTGCTCAAGCCTGTTTGCCTAAAACCGGTTTCCACAGAGCCCACACGACTTTCTTTACTTTCTTCAAAGCTGAGTACAGTTTGGGGGACACGTGGGGTTTCAACTTGCAGGAATTTCGTGGCGTGTTTTGTGCAGCTAACCAGCGCGCATGCTTTGGCAGCTGTTACACCTGCGCTCGTGGTGACTTTCTCGTTCTGTTCTGTTGGCTGCTTCAGCATTAATACAGGTGTACTGAACATCCAGGTTAGTGTTGTGGACACACAATGTGGCCTGGTGGAGTATGTGTGCAACCATGGTGTTCAGCATTTGAAAGTGCTGCTGAATGCAGCTGGAGCTCAGCTAAGGAAATCTAGTCGTAATGAGTTTAGGAAAATAGGCTGCATTAGTCTTGAGCCTTACCCGCCTGCCTTTGTGCATTCAGGTAGCAGCTGTGACAGCTTGAAGGGAGAGCCGTTTTATTGACTCCCTAAGTTCAATTGCTGGGTTCTTTAGCTTTTGAGTTTGTTTTGGGGGAAAGGGATTGGAGCATTTCTTTGGTTTAAGAACAATAGTTACTGCTTTAGGGGAAGGTGTCTGGTTGTTCAACATTGTATCCACAGACCTGGACCTCAATAAAAGAAAAGTAGAAGAGTTGTTTCTTTTTGTTTTGTGTTTTTACTTAAGTCATCTGTACCTCCCATGTGGGGTTAGGCTCACAACCACGAGATCGAGTTGCATGCTTTTCTGGGGTACCTGGGTGGCTTAGTTAAGTGTCCCCCTTTGGCTCAGGTTTTGATCTCCCGGTTCTTGAGTTGGAGCCCCATTGGTGGCTCTGTGCTGACAGTTCAGAGCCTGAAGCCTGCTTTTGTTACTGTTTTTAATACCTTGAAATTAGTTGCCCCCGTGTCTCTGAACATGGCACATATTAAGAAAATCAGCACATCATTATTGCTGCTGCATTTCGTAGTTGTGAGCAAATACCCGATTATGTGAGAAACGAATAGGAAGACATATTGGTTAACAAAATTAACTGACTTGGGAAAGAATCTGACATCCCTAGAGTTCAAGTTAGTTTTATTCCACCCCTAATCTCAAGGTACAGACTGGTTAGGTGAGTCCTGGACCAGTTTGGAGGCTTTAATCAGAGAGGTCTTTTCCAGATCCTTGGAGTGGGTATTGCCCTAGTAAAGCAGAGACCGGAGGCCAGTGCCACCTAGTCTACAGTAATCTAACCCACAAATATATTAAGGAATAGGGTACCACAGAGTGCTTTGGTGGAGGAAGTAAGTCGTCACAGCTGTGGTAGACAGTGTTGGGCAGTTCCTCTTGAACTCTAGTTTCCCTTGGCTTTCCTGGCCCTGTCTTTCCCTCTAACCTCTTCACTACTTCTTTTCTTGTCCTAGTGCCATTATAGTCCTTGGGTGTTTTGGGGGGAAGGTTCCCTAGAAAAGTACTGATCTCTGAAGAAAACTCTCACATTTGTGTGTCTAATCTTAATTTATCCTAAGTGCTAGTGCTAGCTAGCCACACTCTTCTGAATGTCTCATTTGTACCTCAACTGTAATTTGCATGTAAGTGTTACCCTTACTCCTCATCTGCACTTTCAATTTCTTGGAACTGTTACTATTCTTCTAGGCTTTTAAAGTTATGTAAATTCTCCCACATTTCCAAATCCTTATCTCTTCCTGCTGATTCAAATTTAAACAGTCCTCTCAAATTTTTCACTTGTTCCTTTTGTAGAAACTTGTTGGTGGACTTCTTCCCAATTTGAATAGCTTCTGCATTGGACTGCCAGGTTAATCTTGATAAAGTTCACCTCAGTGTCTGCCATTCTTCTGCTAAGAAGTTCTTAAAGGTGTCCTCCTACCTATGGAATTAAATAAACATTTTCCAGCCCGATTTCAAAGATTTGGGCCCAATTTACTCATGAATTCTACCACGCTTACTGTTATATTCTAGCTTCTGGGAGTTCTAGGCACTTTTGTTACCCTGTAGCCAATCTGGACTACTTGATATTGTTCCTTATTAAGGCCTTTGAAGTCCCAAAGGAAAGCAGATAAGAAATAAGTGTTTAAATTTAAGTAGTAGTTACAAACTCTGGTAGTGTCTTAAAGGAAAAGTATAAGTATGAGAGAATGGGATTTAGAAAGGAAAGAGAGTCAGGGAGGCTCTTCAAACAGGCTGGTCTCTTAAGTTGTTAATATCCTCCGTGCCTTCTCCATCTGCTGTGTACTCCTTTGAACTACATTATTTTGGTCCTTCTTGAGCTGCCTCTTTTTTACTTAGTCATAGTTGTTTCTGAATACTCAATATTTGATTCTGTTATATTTTTTCTGTGTTAGGAGTCACAGACCCAAATGCAGAGGCTAGGAAGGAAGCATTGAGTGATGCTGGCTAGATGACAGCAGTGGGGACTAGTATAGGGAACTATTGAGCTGGAGAAAGTGTTCTGTCTCAAGGAGCCAGCTTCTCAGCCCCCGACATTGTTGCCATTGTAGAATGTAGGCCCACGGTTTCCATAACTACATATTTTTCTGGGAAACTGCATTTTTAGGTGGAAACTTTTGATTTTAAATGTAGTTTTAAAACACTGTTGACCAGATGAAACACATTTGTAGACCCAGCATTCAGGCCACTAATTTTCAACTGCAGATTTTTCATTTACTCCTCATAGAGAGCTGACAGGTTCTTATGCCTCAGTGATTATCTATGCATGTGACTTTGTGACCTGTCTTCAGTTCTAACTTTTCTTTCAAAATCTAGTCTACTTGCTCTTGAATGTTTGTACTTATGTCAGTACAGTCTCAAGAAACTGAAAATGGAATTCATATTTTGTTCTACAAACCTGTTAGATTCCTTGCAAACCTTTTCAGTGCCTATATTCTTGTAGCTATCCTAGCTTGAAATCTTGGAATTGTTACTGACAAAGTTCTTTCCTTTTCCATTGAATTTTAACTTCATAGTAGTTCCTAACAGATCATTCCTTTGTTTCTACAGCTGCTGTTTGTCAGTTTAGGCCTGAATTACCTGGTCTTGGGTTTGATTTTCTGTTTTATTCACCTTCTCCTTTGTCTACTTCTGCTGTAATCTTTATTAAGCACTATTTTCATTACCTTAAAAAGTTTCATGAAAAGTCGTTTAACTTTGTAAACCCCTGAGTGCTTTATTGGATAATTGCAAAACTCTCCTAACTGATAATGTTTTCATTCTTCTAAGTCCATTGTTTTTACCTTTAGCATTTATCAGAATCACTTGGGGGTTTGTTAAACACAGATTTCTGGGCTCACTCCACAGTTTCTAATTCAGTGGGTCTGAGGTGGGGCCAATAATTTGCATTTCAACATGTGTCCCAGGATGCTAATAGTGCTCATTCAGGAACTACATTTTGAGAACAGCTGCCCTAAGCAGGCTAGTTGACCATCACCTGAAGGAAGAAAGTCTGATTAAGTGATTTAGTAAATTAGCAGTAGCTAGAATCTGCATGTTCCCTTCCCTCCACCAGATGGCAGTTTGGGAGCCAATAGAAGGCAAGAAGATCATAAATTCAGATTCTATTTGGGGACTCTGAACACTCAAATACATTTTTGAGAGGTAAAAGATAATAGCAGATTTTAAATAATGGTTGAGTATAAATTGGAACAAATACAGTTAAGGACTATATGGAGTCTGGTAAGGAACTCTTTAGCTTTTTGTGCTTTGTAGCAATTGCTCCAGAGATTGTTGTGACCTTTAAAGGCTGTGCACAGTGCTTTGCACTTGCATTTGGTAGGTATGCATTAACACTCTTCGAGCTAAAATTGTGTCTCCTAGGTAAAACCAGGATTTGAAGCCAGGCCTGTGTTTCTCTATGCAGCCGGTAGTACTTAAACTATTACATGAGACTTGCCAGTCTGGCAGCATCATGTTTAACCTTGAACTGGCATTTGGGTACTGGTCTTATTAAGGAATTCAGGGTTATTCTGGATCTAAAGAAATTAGTGCTTAAATCTTCGATAATTCAACTTTATTTTTTTGGAATTTTTTAAGTTCAAAAAGTTTTAAAAATGATGCTTCAGGATAACTGTAGTTCAGATTTTAAAAGTCTGTATGAAATTCCCTATTTAGAAAATACCCCTAAACAAGCAATAAGCAACTGTCTGTCACTTCAGTTTAATTTTTACAAAGTTGATTTTAATGACAACTTGTCTGCACTTTGGAATCACTTGGAGGAGCTCCAAACAAAATACCTATGCCTGTGTCTGACCTCCAGAGTTTGGTTTCATTGTTCTTGGCTGTGAGCTGGGCTTTGGAACATTTACTGGGGTTTTCAGGTGATTCTAATGTGCAGACAAGTTGTGGAATTACTGAGCTAGAATGAATATTTTACTTGTGGTAAGACGTTCAAAACATGCTAGTCCAGGAATGTGAAGTGGTTCCCCCTTTTTTGTTTTTTTGTGGTATTATTCAATTTAAATGTAATGTAAAAGAAAAAATTCTGGAAAAGTTGGATTACAAATATTTTTATAAATTCAGTCAGCTGAATTTATAATTTAGGGGGCTCAAACTCATAAACCGTGCAATCATGACCTGAACTGAAGTCAGCCACTTAACCAGCTGAGCCACCCAGGTGCCCTGTGTTTTTCTTTTCTTTTTTTTTTTTTTTAATGTTTTATTTATTTCTAGGAGAAAGAGAGAGAGAGAGCGTGAGCAGGGGAGGGCCAGAGAGAGAGGGAGTCACAGACTGAAACAGGCTCCAGGCTCTGAGCTGGCGGTCAGCACAGAGCCCAACGCAGGGCTCGAACCCACTAACCGCGAGATCATGACCTAAGCGAAAGTCGAACACTTAACCGACTAAGCCACCCAGGCGCCCCATGTGGTTTTCTTTTTTTAAACAAGAAAATAGATACGCATTGATAAATGCTAACTGTCCATATTCACACAGAAACAGTGTATTCTCGAAGCTAAATATACAGAGAAAGGAGGAGGAAAACTAAAATTCTGTGTACTACACAGGGGTCCAGCAGCCTCCAGCTTCCAGCAGAGCTAAAGGCACAAAAGGTTGTTCTTTTTTCCTCCACGGAACACTGTGGTGTTGATTTCATGAAGGTTTTTTAAGACCAGAAAGGATGAAAATGAATTTGGAACAAAAAGGGGATAGAGATTCTTTACCCACTGTATTCTTCTCAAGATATTTCCTCCTAAAGGAAGTTGAGAACCATAGTACAAATGAGAAGGGACTTGGAACAAAAAAAATCAGAGTGAACACAATTGGTGGGGGAGATGTGAAAATTGCAAGTTGCACCTGGGACCTGGAGAAAATTTAAAAAGGTTAGAATCCATTAGTGTTCTACTAGTTATCTTCTCCATATCCTCCTCTCTTTGCTCCCACTCATCCTCATCATCCCCTTTCCCCCTTCATCATCATGTCAAGAACCGTGTAGTACTGTAATGGATTTGGCCAAATATCATATTTGATGATCTCCCCTAAACTCCTCTGCACCTGCATCAGAATCATCAGTAAGCCAGAGAAAGAGCTCCGTGGGCTCCTCATGCTCTCTCTTCCTGCCGGCTTTATTCTGCGTTTCACTTGAACATGCTGTCATTCTTTCTGGATTTCCATCTGATTTCAGTGTACTTTGAAGATGGATCATACTCTCATTTGAATGAAATTCTTTGAGGAGAACTTTATTTTCAATTTTTTTTTAATCACAATTCTGTAGCGTGACTTAATATCTTTAAATTCTGTCACTTCAACTCCCGTCCAGTAATGCAGTGCAGACACTTGTGGACAAGTGCAAATGTTAACCCAAAAATCTGGGATTTGGGCAATCAATTCCAACCTCTTCTGAGAAAAAGTGGTCAGAGGTGTTTGTTATAGGCTCGTTGCACTTTCAAAACCTCATTGGCTTACTCATTAATTCATTAAGTCTATTGCATTCCCTACTTCATTAATATATTCAACTGCTCCTTGCCGTTCTTTTTCTGAGGTCTCAAGAGCTCCATTGTGGTTGGCGTTGAGTTTCTCTTTACTGACCTGGGTGGGGATGGTGGAGGCAGCAACTTGGTCCAGCTGCCTCTAGTAATATTTTAACAACTGTCATCTATACAAAACCATTACCAATAAAAATATACTTAAAATATTTAAATAATGCTTATGACATAGAAAAATAGTCACAATAGAATTAAAGAATTGCTTTCTTTAAAGCAAGCTTTACAGTAAACATAAAAGGGGCACCTGGGTGGCTCATTCAGTTGAGCACATCTGACTTCAGCTCAGGTCATGATCTCATGGTTTGTGAGTTCAGGCCCCAAGTTGGGCTCTGTGCTGATAGCTCAGGTCCTGGAGCCTGTTTTGGATTCTGTGTTTCCGTCTCTCTCTGCTTCTCCTCCACTTGTTCTCTCCCCCTCTCCTGTTCTCCCACCCTCAAAAAAAAAAAAAAAAAATTAAGATAAACCTCAAAATGGGGTTAGAGAAGGTCAGCAAAGGGTGGTTTGAGATGTTTGGGTGAGTTAAGTGGGGATTTTGACAGCATGGCTGCTTCTTTGGCATGTTTGTGATGTTTAATAGACATCCTTACAGTTTAAGATGATACTTTTAAAATAAAATTGTCTCCTAATGATCACTTGAGCTCTGCCACTTGATAGGAAAATTAGAAGAACCTGTAGGATCTTATTTGGAATTGGCATTCTCTATTATAATTTTATTTTCAATTTTGTTTTACTGGAAAGGAAAGATGATGCTCAGTTTTATGTTTTTAATTTATTTCTATTATGTTTTTTAGAGAGTGAGAGCACAAGCAGGCGATGGGACAGGGAGAAAGGCAGAGAGAGAATGCCAAGCAGACTCTATACTCAGTGCAGAGCCCAATGCAGGGCTCAATCCCATGACTTGATCATGACTTGAGCCAAAGTAAAGTTGGATGCTCAACTGACTGAGCCACTCAGGTGCCCCAAGATGATGTTCACTTTTAAATATTGAAAGTGTTTAAGTTGCTTTGTTGTAGGAAAACTAAATACACACACACACACACACACAAAATTGTTTCCACTGTTTCCACTGTTTCCACTTATGTAAATAACCATGAATATCTTTATAAAATCAAATTTAGATCATATGTCTGTGATTTCCTAAATACAAATGCTTGTGAAATTACTAGGTGTAAGAGTATGATCATTTTAAAGGTTGTAGAACTATACTTCCAGATTGCCTGCTGGAAAGGTAGTACCAATTTATATATTTCACAGCAATTATCTGAGAATACTTGTTGCATCTTTACCAAACTCTTTTTTAGGTTTATTAAAATATTATTCAATAGGCTGAGTAGAAAATTGACAAATTTGTGACATGTCTCTACATTATAATCCTATAGACTAATTTCATTGCCTAAAACATTCCATGTACTCTACCTATTCTCCTTTCTCTCCCACCCCCAAACCCCTGGTAACCACTGATCTCTTTACTGTCTCCATAGTTTGTCCTTTGTCAGAATGTCCTATAGTTAGAATCATACCATATATAACCTTTTCAGATTGGCTTCTTTTGCTTAGCAGTGTGTATTTAAGATTTCTGTATGTCTTATTGTGGAAAGACTGATAATTTCTTTTTATTGCTAAGTAATATTCCATTGTATAGATATACCACAATTCATTCATCCATTCACCTATTGGAGGACCTCTTGATTATTTCTACATTTTGGCTATTCTGAGTAAAGCTACCATAAACATGCTTGTGCAGGGGTGTGTGTATGTGTGTGTGTGTGTATGCGTACATAAGTTTTCACTTCATTTGGGTAAATAGCAAGCAGTGTAGTTGCTGGATTCTGTGGTAAGGTATGTTTGGTTTTGTAAGAAACTGCCAAATTGTCTTTCAAAGTACCTGTACCATTTTGTGTTCTTACCAAGAAGAATGAGAGTTAACCTTAAAAAAAAAACAAAAACAAAAACATTTTTTTCTAATACTGTTTAGAAGAGGCTAAAACAAAAGGAAATATGGTATTTATACATTGAGACATGACTACTCACATTACTGTGTTCATTGTATTCTACATTTGTTTCAGGTTTAATTCATTCAAAAGGACTAATATCATACTGCAACATTTGGTAAGTTTGGATTTTGTTTTGTTGGCATTACTAGATTATGTGTAATATAAAACATCATTATTAGGGAAGTAGAAAATACTCGCAGATTTTGTTGACCTCTATGCCCCATGGTTCCCAATTTTTTAAGTATCAAGACTTGACATATACAACTTGTATGAGATGGTAGAAGGTTTTGAATAAGAGTGTAGATCTTCAAGTCAGAATAATTGGGTTTATTTTTATTTTTTAATGTTTATTTTTGAGAGAGAGAAAGAGAACATGAATGTAAGCCGAGGAGGAGCAGAGGTTGGGGGATTGGGGGAGGTAAGGATGGAAGGAAAGGGAGACACAGAATCCAAAGCAAGCTCCTGGCTCTGAGCTGTCAGCACAGAGCCTGACACGGGGCTCAAACTAACCAGATTCCACTTGGGATGTTTTTTATAGTATTAATATGTATTGTGTTACCTTTCCAAAATCTAGAAAATTTTCTGAATTTTGAAACACATGTGGACCCAAGGGTTTTTGGTTAAGGGATTACGGTCTTAACCCTATTTAATGGATCAGAAATTGAGGGGCAGAGAGGCTATGTAATATGGCTCAATATCAGTCAGCTGGCAAACAGGAGATGAAATTTTAATCCAGTCAGTCTGGCTCCATAGACACTCCTCTTGCACTTTACAGCCTGAGGCAGAGTGGGCATTAAATAATTATTACAAAATCTGTTTCAGTTAAGCCTAAGTGGAGATGGGCAAATTAAGACTGGAATGTTCCATCCTACCCGTAATTATTTTAGTCAGCATATATACATGGGAGCTGAGGAGTTTCCTAGAAAAAGAACTTAATGTTACAGATTCACATTTATACGCATGCACCCAGGTAGAATGGAAAGACATGATAGAATCCAGATCACCTGGACTATAGTGACCTGAGGCATAAATCACGTTGTGGGAAGGAAGTTAAACTGAACTTTCAGCAGGGCCTGAAGACTGAATCATTCTCATCCCACTGTTGGCTTTTATATGGGTCTCAGAGATCGGCTGTATCCCAAGCAGTCCTTCCGTGACCCTTCTAAGAAAGCCAATAGAGCAAGAGCCCTTTTTATTTCATAATGGAGTGATGAAAACATGACACTGATGGCAGTATTATTGGCAGAGTTATGAGAGGTGGACATGACTAATTTGTGGTAATAGTATGACATTCTTACCCTTCAAAGACTGTAAAGGAAGACCTGAACCTGGAAAGGAGGGCAAGGTTTATCAAGCTAATGCAAGCAAGTGGAACCTATTAATGATGTTTCATTTGTATCCATAGGCTGATGTGGACATATTTTTGCAAAACTATTCATGGAAAGATTTCTTTCTTTCTCCATAACATTCTATTAAAATTTTTTTTAAATGTTTTTTTTTTTAATATTTATTTCTAGAAGAGAGAGAGAGACAGCGTGAGGAGGGGAGGGTCAGAGAGAGAGGGAGACACAGACTCTGAAATAGGCTCCAGGCTCTGAGCTGGCAGTCAGCACAGAGCCCGACGCGGGGCTCAAACCCACGAACCGCGAGATCATGACCTAAGCGAAAGTCGGACGCTTAACGACTAAGCCACCCAGGCGCCCCGTAAATTTTTTAAATGTTTATTTATATTTGAGAGAGAGAGAGAGACAGAGTGTGAACAGGAGTGGGGCAGAGAGCAAAGGGGACAGAATCCAAAGCAGGCTCCAGGCTCTGAGCTGTCAGCACAGAGCCTGACCTGGGGGTTGAACCCACAAACTGTGAGATCATGACCTGAGCCAAAGTTGGATGCTTAACTGACTGAGACACCGAGGTGCCCCTCCATAATATTCTTTTTAAAACTTACACAGCAGTTAATGTGCAGAAGCTCATTTATTCCATATATTTCTATCTCAACACAGAGAAAACTGTAGTTTTATTTCTGAAAGTAATTCTTTTCCATGTGAAGGTACATTGGTTGGACTGCATGAAATGACACTGTACATACCATTTTCAGGACACCAGTCAAATTTTGTTCTGTATATCTAGATAATGATCTAGAATCTGTGTCAACCAATTTATAATCTATGGTTTTTGAACCGATATACATTTAGGTGCTTGCTTTGTATGCAATGAACTAACTACTTTGAGATTCTATTATTAAAGACAATTCCTGACCTCAAGAAATGAACAGTCTAATAAAAAGATAGAAATATGTACTAACATAAAAAGCTTCTGTACAACGAAAGAAACCACCAACAAAACTAAAAGGCAACCAATGGAATGGGAAAAAATGTTTGCAAATGACATATTGGATAAAGGGTTAGTATCCAAAGTCTACAAAGAACTTGCCAAACTCAACACCTGAAAAACATAATCCAGTGAAGAAATGGGCAGAAGACATGAATAGACACTTCTCTAAAGAAGACATCCAGATGGGCAACAAACACATGAAATGAAGCTCAACATCATTCATCATCAGGGAAATACAAATCAAAACTACAGTGAGACACCACCTCACACCTGTCAGAATGGCTAAAATTAACAACTCAGGAAACAACAGATGTTGGTGAGGATGCCAAGAAACGGGACCACTTTTGCACTGCTGGTGGGAATGCAAACTGGTGCAGCCATTCTGGAAAACAGTGTGGAGGTTCCTCAGAAAATTAAAAATAGAACTATGCTATGACCCAGCAATTGCAGCACAAGGTATGTATCCAAAGGATATGAAAGTGCTGATTCAAAGGGACACATACACCCCAATGTTTGTAGTAGCACTATCAACAATCGCCAAATTATGGAAAGAGACCAAATACCTATCAACTGATGAATGGATAATGAAGAGTGGTGTATATATACACAATAGGTTACTACTTAGTGATGAAAAGGAATGAAATTTTGCCATTTACAGCAATGTGGATGGAAGTAGAGTGTATTATGCTAAGCAAAATAAGTCAGAGAAAGACAGATGTCATATGATTTCACTCATATGTGGAATTTGAGAAATTCAACCGATTAACATAGGGGAAGGGAGGGAAAAATAAGATAAAAACAGAGAGGGAGGCAAACCATAAGAGACTCTTTTTTTTTTTTTTAATATTTTATTTATTTCTAGGAGAGAGAGAGAGACAGTGTGAGCAGGGGAGGGTCAGAGAGAGAGGGATTCACAGACTGAAACAGGCTCCAGGCTCTGAGCTGGCAGTCAGCACAGAGCCCGACGCGGGGCTCGAACCCACGAACCGCGAGATCATGACCTAAGCGAAAGTCGGACGCTTAACCGACTAAGCCACCCAGGCGCCCCGAGACTCTTAAATACAGAGAACAAACTGAGGGTTGTTGGAGGAGGGGTAGGTGGGAGGGATGGGTTAAACAGGTGCTGGGCATTAAGGAGGGCACTTTTTGGGATGAGAACTGGGTGTTGTATTAAGAGATGAATCACTGGTTCTACTCCTGAAGCCAAGAATCCACTCTATGTTAACTAACTTTAAATGAAAAAAAGGATATTTACTAACAAAGTGTGGTAAAGAGGCCAAATAAAATTAAAGGTGTGAACAAAGGTGGGATAGAGTGATGTCGACTTTGTAATCAATGAAAGCTTACTGGAGGAAAATCATTTGATCTGGGCCTTGATGAACAATTATGGTTTCAACATGTAAAGATGGGAATAAGTGGAAGTTCATATAGTAATCCTAAAGTGATTCTATTATCTCCGTTTTACAAATGCAGAAACTGAGGCCCTGAGAATAACTTCCCTGAGAGTGTACAGTAGTGAGTGGCTAAACTAAGTCTGAGTTTGCGTCTCTAAGACTCTAAAATCTGGTTTCTTTCTGTTACACAATATGCTTGTTCTTGGTGGTGAGAATGGTGTGATAGGAGAATAGAGGTTACATTTAGGGCTTTCTGAGAATCGGTTATAAGGAGTGCTACGCAGTGGTGGGCTTGGAGAATTTACCCAGGATCAGATGTAGAGAGACTTGAAGGTCATGTGAACTAACTTGGATGTTTTTGAAGGTAACAGGGAGTCATTGACCATTTTTGAATGGCAGGAACAAGATTAAGATTGTGTTCTAGCAAAATTTCCCTGGTGGCAGTGTGAAGTATAGAACATCAGCCAAAGCTTCTGGAAATCTGCCAGAAAGGAAAGTTATAACAATCCTGCATGGCTTACAACAATGGGAATAGAATAGAAGAGAGAGCTGTTTTAGAACTAGATTCTCTGGTACGTGGTTACTGCCTCAAATTGTTGGCAGAGACGAGAAAACAAGTTTGGTTGAAAAAATGGTGATGCCATAACCTGTTCTAGGGAACAGAGGAGGAGAGACAGATTTGTTGGGAAGAAATTTGTTGGTAAATTTGGTTACCCAGTTGAGTATGGGGCACCATGTATTTACTCCTGTAATTCTAGCAGGCATTTGGAAATAGGGGCCAGGGTCTCTGGAGAAGTAAAGAAATAGATGCAAGTTTGAGTCAGCTGCCTAAAGGTAATAATTGAAGATATAAAGTAGATTATCACAAAAAGTTGAGAGAATAGAACACAGCTAAAGACCATCTGAGAGACTCTGAAGTATTGTGGAGGAATTTACTGATCCAGTTTGAAGTCAGGAAGGATTGAGTCAAGGTTGAGTAATCAACATTTAATAAATGTTGTTAGATGCTAAGAACCTTACTTGTATTGTGCTTTGGTGTCCTATTTGGGTTATAGTAATTTAAATTTAACAGCATACAACAGTTGCTAGAAACTGGTGAAAATCTTAGGAGTGAGAAGGATATGTCATTGGATAGAGACGAAAGTCACATGTCACAAGAAATCATGTTCCAGTAGGCTGTTTTCCTGGGTGTGTTTGTGGTTTGCAACCCTATTCAGTGGCAGTAGATGTTACATATAATGGAAGGTGTATGCTTACGATTGGGATTTGGGTATCCACAGCGCGATGCTTGCCCTAGGCTTGTGTTACAGCATAACTGAGTCACTAGAATGATGGATTTAAACATTTTTGAGATACCTGTATACTAAGTACTGGAAAGAAAGGTTCGTTT